GGGAGCACTGATTACTGACATAGGCGGGACGTTCGATTCGTGCGATTCTGGGCGCGCGCGGCAAAATTGCGCGGCGAAATTCGCGATGGTTCAAACAACTCTGGCGCCTATCACTGGGGCACAAACTTGAAGTAAAATACTTCAGTAGGGTCGGACAATCCTACTCACCTACTTCACTTCAAATTTGGGCCCCAAAAATAAACGCAGCAGTCGTCCAAATCGCACCAAATTTCGCCGCGCAATTTGCCGCGCGCACCTAGGATTGCACGAATCGCCACCCACCGCAGGCATAGCACTTCGAGGTTTCTATTTAGAACTGAATGTTTCGTTATCTTTCTATGGTGCTTAAGGTTTTATTTTCGCAGTTACAATACTTTTTATACACTCATTATATTCCAGTTAGTAACTGTTAGAGAGAGCGCAGTTTCTATCGATTTGTTATACAAGTGAATTTGGTTTTTTTTTCAGGTCTGATGCCACTGATGAAGGTATCAGATATTGAATTGAAATGGGCTGATGAGGAGTTAGTGAAGCAACGAATATTTGAAAACGGTTTCGACCGCGACAGCGCTTTCGAAAGTATTACTCATTCTGATCGAACTACTCATGTATATGAAGGTGGTTTCAAGGTACTAATGAAAGTTAGGTCTGAATAGAATGTTTGTTGATATCACCAGCTCCAACCTCAGATATGGGAATGTTGTTTTGACTTGTGCCAACTCGTGGATGAAGAGTCAGCCAATATTCATGGGAAGCGTGTACTTGAAGTGAGCTCATCTGTGCATTCTATTATTTTTTACGTGTATGTACTTCAATACTGTATGTAGAGCTGCTGGAAAACTTCGTAGATCAAGAAGTCGTTCTGCAGCTTTATCGTACGGTCGCATTTATTTCTACTTACGATAGTAGCCTGCAATGTTTCAGGAAAGCCATGTGCATATGGCATATGGCTTTCTTGAAAATGTAATGAAGGCTCGAAATTCGTTCGATAGTAGTGTAGAGTGTAGTAGATAGTAATGAAATGCGAACTCGTCGCTTCCATGTCAAGCTGACGTAGCGTAGTGGTAGTGGTCTCGCTTCCCACGGGAAACATGCGGGTGCTCCAGGGCACTGTCGTCGTTTTCACATTATGTTTTTTCGTTTCATTAGAGACTTTCTGAACTTTTTCTTACATTTGTTCGAATGAGTGTCTTATTCTGCTTCCATTTGCGCTTGTCGCACATGTTCAAGGAAGAATCGATCTGCACGTTGATCGACTGTTTATGATTGATATGATATGACTTTATTTACTTTAAATACAAGAAACATTCAGTAGAATGATGCCAAAGATGTATAAGATGTCTGTAGGTAGGAATTGAATATTGATGGAAAAGCTTGAAAAAAGGACACCTTATACTTGCTGCTTGTCTACAACCCGAGACAAAACAGTCTTTTCTCCCAAAATTGAACCCATACTCGACAGGAGTGGCGAAGGAGCCTGGATTTGACCAGCATACCTGTCTTTGTACCAGGAGCACTTCAAAACTTTGAAAGACGAGGTGCCCAAATCCTTCTATATACTTGTGGTAAAACCTCAAGTAGATCAACTCTCTGCATCATATTAAACCCGCGGTGTTATCATAGCTAATCTCAGCACGAAACAGAGCTAATAATAATACTCAAGGTTTCACCCCAAATATATCAAATCTTTTGTGTGCCTCGTTTTTTCAAATTTAAGTGCTCTTTGTACAAGGCCGAGTATGTCCATGAAATTCCAGGCTACTTTGTCACTCCTGGCGAGTATTCATTCAATCTTGTGACAAATGACTGTTTTGTCTCCGCTGTAAAGAAGCATGTATAAGGTATGCAGTTTGTGAACAGCAGGTGTGCTCCACAAATTTCTTCGCGTATTTTAGTCGATGTTGCGTTTATCACAATCATCTTATGCGTCTTTGGCATCCTTCTGTTGATTGCTTCTCGAAGTTTGTAATGAAATAAAGTCATACAATCACAGTTGACAGCAGAAATGAGGTGTTCATTCAAACATAAACCAGGAAAGCATTTGAAAGCCTGAATGAGTCGAAATAATACTGCGCACAATACTCGTCGATGGCGGGGAGGTAACCTGGATCTTACGCCTGTGAGGCAAGACCGCTATCACTACGCTACGTCGACGCTTGATATTGAAGCGACGGGTTCGCATTCTAATTTACACTACTGTCGAGCCAATTTCGAGCTCCTATAAATTTTTCGAGAAAGCCATTTTGCAGTTTTGATTTTTATATTCATAAACAGCATTCAACCTCCACTGATTTATCCGGGACTCCATTCGTGGTAAGAGGAATAGAAGAAACCAAGTTTTCAAAGTGGGCAGGAGGTGGTGGACCAAGATCAGATGCCCATGATTGTTCAAAGGCTTTCTAGAGCGCGGGAAACGTGGTTAGAGCTTTTGAAAGGTGGGACAAACCTCTGAAGTGGGTGGGTTTTGCTCTGCTATGAGCGGGCTAAGTTCAAAAACTCATAACTCTGTAAAGAAACATTCTGGAGCACAGCAAAAATGGTCAGGCTCTGTGAACTTTTGACAGGCACACCTCAATGCAAGCCTGTTCATGGTGATGTCAAGTTATCACGATGAACTGGGCTTGCATCTACGTGTGGCTGGTCAGATTAAAAAATTCTCAACTTTGTCTAGATGTTCGTTACGTTCTGTAAATGAATCATCATCTTTCACTGCCTATGGAGTCATAATAACTACTTACCGTTTGTGGTGAACTCGCTTCTGTCCGTTTATCTGTCCTGAAATTCAATATTACTCGAGGAACACCTGGAGGGTTCAGATCAAGTTTGAGATGGGTGGGGCACCGAGCAAGATCAACAGAGCATATGTGAGCTGAGGAAGCTTGCTCGGAACGGGCACAGGAATGGGCGGAACGATGAAAAAACTATAATTTAGTTTCAGGAAAGCCTAGACACCGGAAAAAATGGCAAAAGTTAGGGAATGGTCGACAAAGTAAACAGAGGGCATTCATCCGCGGTGAGCGGTCGACCTTTTTCATAAACTCATAACCCACAACAGCGTATGGCCACTTCTTGGATTTTGGAGCTCAGATCAAATGCATGGAACTCATCTTTGTTCGATGCCTTCTTTGTTGTGACGCACTCGTTTCTGCGGGGAGCCTAACGGGTTTATTTATGGTAGGAAGACCGAGTAGGCTACGGAGCAAACACGAATCTATACTTTACCCACAGATCTGAACCAAGCTTTTCTTGGACAAATTTTTCTCAATTGCAATTATCTTTTTCTCAGCTCGGTTGTGGTGCCGGTTTGCCCGCTATATTATGTGCTCGACGCGGCGCAACTCACGTTACTCTTCACGATTTTGTGAGTTGTATTGCAGTGTATTCCAATCTTAATGATTTTTCTGAAGGTTAAGTTCCAGAATGATTGTGTGATACAATGTTTCACGAAAGAAAATATGCGACTTAATGGTGTGGAGGAGTCCAAATATAACCTAATAGGCGGCAGTTGGACCGATTTCCCTTCTACCATTGAACCTCGAAGGTATGTTTACGATACACTACTTTGTCCCTTTGGGGTTAAGTGTAAAGCGGCTTCTTTTTGGGAAAAATGCCAGGCATTCTTGGTATAACTGCACAACTGTCGTCATATCTGTTTACGGTAGCAGTCCGCTGTTGCAGCGTTCACCCCCTCACAACCCGAGTGCTCTTTCCTGTAGCCTTTTTTCGATGTATCATGTCTGCGACAGGCCGTTGGAGATATCGAACATGTGCATGATGGGTCGATGGGGTAACCCCTCTTGTATCTGTTGTCGGTACGCTATTTCGAAGTGCTAATGTGTGTAGAAAAGTCGGTACGATCTGTTCTTGTTAGGACGTACGACCAAATACTTCTCGTGGTATCATCGATTCGAGTGATCACAACCAAGCTTTCGTTATGCAATTCTTTTGTGCGTTGCAACCTATAACGTAACGAAATAGGGTGACCGCAACAAAACAAAACCAGAAGAGAATGGTAACACAAAAAACAATGAGGTAAAGATGCGGAGGTTGTGCTGGCGGTTCAGTGGATTTTGTATACTCCGGTTAATTCGGAGTAGAATAATACAAGTATGTAGTGAGCGCGGACGTTACCGCTAGTAAAGAACAGAAGAATGGCAAATAAATCCTTATCTAAACACAGAACCTACGTCTCGCCCTTGACGTTGTTGGAGGTAGAAGTGGGGACCACGCTTTTTGGTGGTCCCGCTTGACCCCGTATCATTTAGGGGCGTGGGCTAAGTTAGGGAGAGTCGTCTCAGTCAGTGAGACGACGAGATAGTGTTGGGGTCGTCGTCGTAGACGACGATAGAGGTAATATGGAGAGATTCAAATACAAAAAGAAATAGTCCTTTTTCTCCTACGGGTATTGCGGCGGGCTTCCGGACGGCGTTACGAAGTGGCGACTGACTCTATTGGAGCGTTGGTTCCTCTCGGCACTCTTTTCCCGCTCTGCAATAGATTATCGATAATCGTAGATCAAGACATTGATTCTTGACTCCCCTCCTGACATCCCCCGTGTGTAAAAAGAGTGGTCTCATCACTCCTATTTACTTCAAGAATTCACGTGTCTCACATCGACCACGTTACCAAAATCGTCCACGTTTGGGCATATTTCTACCAGTTCGACCGGCTTCCGGGCAATTAGCGCTTTTTTGCGACTGATGGTCTTTTCGTCTGTCTCAGTGCTTGGTTCCGGCCAATGGGGCACCAGAATTTACGTAGCTTCTCGTACCAGGACAAATCTTGAAACGTCCGATTATAACATTATAATCGCACGGGTCACTTCCGAGGCATCGTATGGGTTTATCCCATTCCTCTGTTAAGGCACCTTTCCCGAAAAACTTGACATTCTTGAACGGAGTTATGGTGCTGAGAACGACTGAGACGTCTGAGGCTGCATCATCCGACATGCGGATATTTGCCGAGGAATTGTGCTCTCATGGTGCCATTTTAACGGCGAGATTTACGCCCATCGATCTCAGGCTATGTAGCCGTGGTCGTAACACGTGTGAAGTGATTTCTTTGTCCGGAAAACTTTTTCCGATTATCTTCAACACATCGTTCTTGTCATCCGGGGTCAGTATGGAGTCGTTATTGTAAATGACACCTTTGACGCTCTCCGGCAACCATTTGAGGATATTTTCCAGAATCTTAGGAACGAAAAGTAACTGTGAGCGCCTTGGTTTTTCCCACGGACCTTATGTTCTTGCCCTGAATAAGGCCCATAGCGTTCTGGAATATTACTCTCCATCTTTTGCATGATCGAATGTTTTCATGGTAGAAATCAGAGGGCTTGAGTTTCCCCTCGCTGAGTTGAAAGTGTCAACAGTTGCCTCCGGATTTCAAAAGTGCAACCGCCAACGCTTCTGCTTAGATTTCAATAGCTTTCTTTGCCATTTGCGCAGGTTTCTCTCGCTCTGTCAGGTTGTCTTGCAGCCAGACTTGCACTAGCCGAGCCAATCTGTAGATATTGTCGAATCGTATGCCTTGCATATGCACTGGTAGGCCTTTCAGTGCGTGTTCCAGGCGTGTTGCTTGTGCGTCCGTTGACAAAGGATATGGCACCGAGAGACGAAATCCATTGTTTTCTCTGGGCGGCTTCGCGTATGCCTTTTCATGATTCGTTGCTTTGTAATTGACATAACGTTCTTCACCCTCTTGCACAGTAATTTGACGCGGACAAATTCTTTGTAAACGCTGCTGCCTGAGAGATTTGGGCGGTAACCGCCTTTTACATCGTTTGTAGCATCACTTCGAAGAGCGTTGGCTAATCCAGCTGGTTGTCCACACAGCAGTTTTTACAGGCACCGTATACTCGGGCATGAACAAGAAAGCGCTCCATCCTTCATGTGAGGGTTCCGCATGGATGTTTGATACGGCTACTGGAAAGGAAAACAGCAGCAAGGGAAATCGGAAATCAATGCAAAAAGGAGTTGTGTGATCTCCTGGGACTGATTGAGTGATATTACTTAGTCGCGTCAGGAAAAGAGCGGCGTGCCGAAATGTCTATTCCCTTCTTTCCCGATGTTCCAGGTTGGCTTGAATTGATTCGATGTGTTCTATATTGTAAATGTTAATTAAGTGTATGTAGTGTATTAGTGTATTAAATGTATGCAGCAATATATTGCAAAATTGAAGTTTGATGAAGGCAAATGCCGATACTTATCAGAAATCCGTCGTGAAGTTATTGTAGAAGTTTCCTCGTAACGGTGCGACAACCTTAGATGCTTTGTGCTTTGATTGCCTCTTCTGTCTCGACGGTGTCAAAGGCCATCTTCAAACCCAAGAGAGTAAGACATAACGGAATCGTTTGCTCTCGCGACACCTCTAGGACACCTTTACAGTTTGAATATACTCGGTCGCATCGAACCTACCCGGAACCTGCACATCACTTGGGTCTCCTTCATACACTATCCTGGCAATCTATTATGTATGATTGGTGTGAAAAGTTTATGAATCACAGAGAGCAGGGATATTGAGCGATAGTTGCCGATATCGTGTGGATCTCCCTTATTATACAGCATGCTCTTCCTGGTTCTTTACAAACGTAGCGAGCGTATCCCGCCTGAGATGGCACCTAAGCAGCTGTTCGTGGTTGTTTGAGAGATAAGAGTAGAAGTTGTAGGTGACCTTCTCCAGTTCCGTCAGGACGACAAGGGAGGCCATCTTGGTCTTGTAATTGACAAAACTGTACAGGCATAACAAATGTTCTTGCTCTTCTCCCTTTGAGTTCTTCCTTTCTTTTCCGCATCGCTTCACAAGCTCAGACGTGACCCGGTTATTGCTTCCTCTCGAGCAATTCTGCTTTGGCGTATCAGCTGGCAAGTTTTCGAAAACAGGCACTCGTGGTGACTTCTGAACTCTTATTTTCAGCACTGCCTTATACTGTAACACGGTCTAGACCGAAATACAGAAAATCTATTTTTATTAAATTCCACTCGAGAAATGAGTGGTAACAAAATAAAGTTGCCTTGTTAATTTGCACACTTTTCCATATTTCGACGAATATTCCTTTATAAATCATTTTGCATAATTCTACCGCCTCGGCTCAATATTTGGTGCTGAACATCAATTTTGAATATCTATTCACTTATGAGATTGGCGATTTATAGACAAAACTTCAGTGTCGGGCGGGACCCGAACTCGCCCGGTGCCCGGTAAGCACAAGTACGGGTTCGAGTCCCACCCTTCACTGAAGTTTTGTACATGAATCGTCAACCTTGTGAGACTTTCGCAATGCGTGCTAGGCGATACAACAGCAGTTAACAAAACATCAAGACAAAGCAATTTATATATTCACTATTTCAGCAACTCTTGCTGGGAACACTAAAAACCTGTTTCAGCTTTGACCTCGTACTCACTTCTGAAACGATCTATAATCCGGATGATTATGTTGCTCTACATGATGCATTTGATCGTGCTCTGTCGCCAGATGGCATGATGTGAGGATTTCCTATCGCTGGCAGCGGTGTTCTCAATTCTGGTCAAACTTTGTAGCCCTGTATTGGTGACTTTCAGATGGGTGGCCGCGAAAACTTTTTATTTTGGAGTGGGTGGAGATATTGCAACATTCACAGAGTTTGTTGTAAAAAAAGGTGTGTTCAAAGTGACTACAAAGCGACTCTTCAGTGCCGATATTCCGAGAGTTATCCTAGAGTTGAGGAGATAACGTGTTTGTCCTGTATTTGTTGCGTCTATTAGTTCAATTGTTCTGTTATAGATATATTGTTTCGTTCCGATTTTACAGTCAACTGCTACGAACATTGTCATCCATTCACACTCAAACACATTCTTCCGCTTGCACACCATCTTGCACTCAATGTTCACACACACATGCATGCACACATCCAGACCCACAAACGCACATGTAGTACATGCGCACAAACATAAACATAACATCCTCCATATATAAACCGCCAACTTTGTGTGTCTGTTTATGTGTCCGTTTGTGTGTCCTCCCGAAAGTCATGTAGGCACGTTAAAGAGCGTGAAGATCAAACGATTAAATGCGTTTTCGATGAAGCGGATACATATATTTCATTAGATAAGAGTCCAATCATTAGCGTTCGGATAAGTCTTGCCAAAGTGATACCGAAGCGAAGAGAAACCGTGATCCTTCATTGAGTCACAAACCTTGCTGGGAGCGGTCGTAAAAAACGTTCTCCTGACTACTTACTGTCATGCTAAATCCCTTTACTGTGGACGATTCAACTATCGGTTCTCAGCCAACTGAGAGAGGGGAGAGGTTAGGTTTCGTGGGCAACAGGATTGTTGCTCACGAAGAATTTTACCGAAAGTATCTTTGTATTTAATCTATTTTCCAGACTAGATGTGTAATTTTCCATAGAACCGTAATCGGAAATCCATAGAAATCACTAGAAATATCCTCTATACATAAACCGCCAACTTTGTATGTCTGTTTGTATGCCCGTTTGCGTCCTTCCAAAAGTCACGTACGCACGTGATTATGAACTGATACTCAAACTGATAGTGGTATTGATGTGGTACTCATTGGGATTTATTTATGACGTCACAGGTTAAAACCCACAACCCGCCTCCCACGACGCAGGCCGATCAAACCCCAAGGAACTAGGGGAGGTTAGAATGGAAACAATTCCACGATCACCCATTAGTGTCAAGAGATCAATACCCACAAAGCAGCATCAGTTCGTCAAATTGGGGAATACCAACATTCAACAACACCTAATTCTTATACACCAAACGTTCTCCCGGCTATTTACCGTTGTGCTATATCCCTATACTGCGGAGGATTCATCTATCCGTTCGCAGCCATTTGAGGGAGAAGAGAGGTAAGGCTTCGTTGGCAAACAAGCTTTTTGCTCACGAAGGATTTTTACCGAAGGTATCTTCGGCATTTAACCTATTTTCCAGACTGTAAGCATAGTTTTCTATAGAAAAGTAGTACGTAAATCCATAGAAACCCATAGAAGACTTATCTAATCGAAATTTCTAATTTTAGATGTGAATTTCGCTTACAGATACGCACTCCAAGGATTATCCACTTCCTAATATTTCAGTAGCTAGATAAAGGCTTTCCAAATTTGGAACTTAGGCGAAGTCTGTACGACAGCTCATCATGTGACGCGCTTGCGTCTAATTGTTTGTTTGTTTTTCAATTGTACAGAAATTCGATATTACCTTAGGAAGCACTTGCATAGTCGGGTCAAGTTTGGGATGGGTTGGGCATAGGGCAAGCTCAAAAGAACACTTTTGAGCTCAGCAAAGCTCCTCTTTTAAGGGTGGAACATGCACAGGATTGGGTGATGTCATGGGCAAAACTTCCTTACTTTTTATAAAGCGCTCGCATCTGTCTGTCCATCCGTCCGTCTGTCTGTTTGTACGGGAACTCATAACTCCTATCTCCGTGGACCTAGGACGTTCAAATTTGCTAGGAGCACAGGCGGGCAGGATGGGAACACATATGGTGGGTAGCAGGACTGGACTCCGCCCGAAGTAGGCGGGGTTTGCGCGAAATAAATGTTCAGGCAAGTCCAAACTTGGTAAGAGTACCGGAGGCAGGGTGGGAGCACTAATGGTGGTGGCAGGATCGGGCCACAGAGGGCGGGGTTTGCGCCAAAATTGTCACTTTGGTCCTAGGGTGTTCAAACTTGGCAGGAGTATAGGAGACAGGATGGAAACTCTTATGGCAGGTGGGAAGTCCGGACCCCGTCCATAGAAGGCGTGGTATGCGCGAATTTGCTCCAAGGCGCTCAAATTTGCCAGGAGGACAGGCGACAGTATGCAAACACTTATTGTGGGTGGTAGGACCGGATTCCTCCTACTGGGGCGGGGTTTGTGCGAAATAAATGTCTGAGCGAATAGCCATAACTCTTGATTCCGTGGACTTGGAGTGCAAAATCAATAGTAGGACGGGAACATTAACGGGAGAGGAGGCCTTAGAGAACAAGATCCAATCACCAATTGAATCATAGCGCCTTCTTGCTACGATTTGGCTTTGATTCTTTGATATGTTTTATTCGAGGGAGGGTGAGTGCACTGCTAGGGACCGATTATAAAATTTGATTCACTTCTTTCTTACGTCCGCTATCCAGCGAAGTTTGCGATTCAATTGAGGATAACGGTTTCTTCCTGCTTTGATATCATTCATGGCAAAAGTTATCCGACCGCTAACAATCATGGATTTTCATTTAATGGTGTATCCGTAAGGAAAAGGAGCTACATTCATAAGACAATTTGATAATGGTATTATTATGGCTTGACATCATTTGTGAGTACCATTCAACGATTTGGATGCCTACCAGTTAAATCTCAATGGGTCATTATTTTTAACATCAACAGCGACAGACAGATTCTATTATAATCAAAGGCATCGGCATCGGCACATTTTGAATACCGTTTGCATGTCCTACTTCATGTTCCGAAAAGTATCATTCGTTCCAAAGGAAGGTGCTGATTGCCGTTTATCACAGCTCTATCCCAAGGAAGGAAGGAGGCAAAGGAGGGAAGCCCGGCGTTAGCCGAGCGATTCGACTGTTTCTATATACAAAACGGTAACTTTGTGTGTCTGTTCGTGGGTCGGTTTGTGCGTCCTTCTGGAAGTTACTTAGGCACGATGAAGAGTGTGAATGTCGCGTGAGCGCGGAGAAGTAGCAGTCATGAAATGGGAAGTCAACCGACACTGATAATATTGGTCCTCCAAGTCGTTGGTAAGCGGTAGTGGGCGTGCGGTGCACGCATTAGCGTGCGTAGCCGAAGTGGTCTATAATAAAGTAACTGACCATCGCTTGGCCACCTTAGTGGCCATCGCTCTCAGCCCTCCCGGTCGTCTTTTTCAACCGCCTAGCGTCTCTAACTTCTTGTTCTTGTGTGTCCTTGTTTCTAACAAATTCTTGTTTGTGTTGGTGTTGAAGGTGTCTACTGAACGCATAAAGATCACAGTAGATTGTTTTCGAATTGTTCAATTGCTGTTGAGTTGTTGATTTGTTTGTTCAAGTTGATTGATACACAAAGTTGATTTGAATTTTGTTCTTGGAATAAATATGAGGCAAAGCATTTCGCTCGTACTCATTTTTTGCATAGAAACGACTTAATAGTCAATTGAACGTTTACTTCTTCTCCCATCCAAGTATTTTGCATGAGGTAGTTGGCGCACCCGCCCTGGTGCTCCTCTCTCCCAAGGCGTTTGTAAAAATCGTTTCACTGAAAGGCTAGTAGTTGTTTCGGTCAGGGTCAGTGACCTCCTTACATTGATGACTGATCACTACGCTATTTTTAGGAAGATGATAGAAAATCTTTTTGATTAGATGCCGGTCAATGTGCATTCCTTGGTGTCACCCGTAGGTGAAAAAAAAGCTACAACAGCACCTTTCAGTGCATAATACAAATGACTAGCTTTAGTGTGAGAAAATTCAAATGGGAATTAGTAAATGAGAACAAATTAGGTTCAGAGCCAGGTAACTATTCCGATTGACGACTGTTACACAATAGCATAGGAAAAGTCCTCATACTTGTTGTACTGCCTATTCAAGCAGTGTTCTCACCAGTCTCGATGAACTTCGAGCGACACATTGACCGTTCAGAGCCAATTAACCAAATTTTCACGCAAAAACCACGGTTAGGTAACAGTTGTTATGAATGGATGTCTTTAATGACAGATGACACGCTTCCTCATAATTTCTCCGTATCCTGAGCGGGTCTACGGACTACTTGAACTCGGGTCCTTTAAATTCGCCTGGGTACGGTATTTTTCTGCCCTCGTCTGGCGCACTCTAGCCAAATCGAGTCTCTAGCTG